TATATGTATGTATATATATATATATGTATGTATATATATATATATATATTATATGTATCATCATCATCATCATCATCAGTTATGTTCCTTAATAGATAGAGGTACGTTCTCCCTGAGACATATAAATGAGAGAAAAAAAGTTCATCCATTGCTCTGTACACTGGAAGACCTTCAAGGAAATGTTTTTACCATTCTTGTGAAGATCATGGTTCAGCACTCTCAGGCGTTGTTACCCTTCGTTGTGATAGTATCAGCATTTTGGCAATCAAATGGCTACACATCCAGCAGCATGAAAACCTTCTTATGGTTGTCTTGACCAACTGCCGGTCAGATGTACTAGGGTCAGTGGCACCTCGCAATCTCATGTTTCAACTGATGATGTGATTATTCTGTGTACATCAATTCTGACAGCAGAGAAAATATACTCAGACATCTCCATGTTGAACATGTTTGGTGCCTCAGAGTCTGTCCCTGCTGTTGTTTCCAACAATGAGCTAACTTCCACAAAAAACCATGATCGATTCAGAATCTAATAAGTTTGCATTTCCGTGGGTCTCCTTCACAAAGTATTTTCGCTGGTACAAACCAAAATACACTCAGTCTATTAAGAAGTTATGAGTCATCGAAGGGATGAGTCATCTGTTACTTCTTTTACCATGATTTGAACTTGGTTTGCCTCCTACACCAGACAACACTCTCAAGTTGGCCAGAGCATCCTGAGCATGCTTCTTGGTGTTGGCATTCCCATGCTTCATAGCTCCAACCAATGCCATCACAAGATCTTGATCGGTTGAATAATCTTGAGCAAGGGCCTCAACTTGAAAGAACCTTTCTACCATCAGTGCCACTTTTTCTTGAAGTTTTCCTGGTCGAACCTCTTTGAAAAGGTATATTGCAGCTCTAAAAAGTCCAAGCTGTTCCAGCTCTTCTTTTGCATTCTTAAGGTTTTGAACATCTGAAAGAATCGTGGAAAGTGCTTCCACTGCAGCTAACTGAACGTCTACATTCTCATCATTCATAAGATCAATCAGTGGCTTGACTGCATTTCCTTTTAGTAAACAAAAAGAGCTGTTTCCGTCACATGGAACATTATGTAGTGGACATAATATAGGAACCATTGGTGCCATTCCACATAATAACACCAAGGGAGAACAAAGTCCACGGGGTGGTTGAGGTTCTAAGAGATCAGTGGCTACTGATACCCTTAACTCAGAAAGGTATTTCAGACCAAGGACAGCTCGCTGCTTTGCTCTGCTATGTGGACGACTGTTCAGTTGTTCTCGAAAGATTCTCATGAACTGATTTTCTTGGACTAGAGTAATTATTGTTGGGTCGGGAGTCTTTGCATAATGCAATAGAAGGCCAAGAAGCCCTTCCAACATTCTTCTGACCTTTTTAGAGTTCCTTCCAGAAGAAATGGATTGTTCCTCTCTAATGTGACTAATTATCCATGTAAGAAGATCGGATCCGAGAACTGTCTTCACTTCATCGTCTAAGATGGGAAGGTTGGCAAGTAGCCCTGCAACTTCACATCTCTCCTCAAGAGAGCTATGAGCATCTAGCAATTTTCCCTTGAGTGAGACAATCTTGTTAGAAGCTCTAAGTTCTTCAGCAAGAACTTGCCCCAGCTTTTCAGATAACAGGTTTAGAAGTCTAAAAGCATTCACTCTATGGTCAATCTCTGAGTATTCAATATACTGTACTACAATTTTAAGGCCACCACTACTTTCAATACAAGAAGCTGCCATATCTGTATCCGTAGAAATAATAAGAGGAATTACACAGTGGTGATTCAGAAATGCAAATATTTATCTATTTAATTAAAAGCAATACTATCAACTTAATAGAAAAGAAATACCACTATCATTGTTTCCAAGTTGAAGTAAGAAATACCACTGTCATTGTTTCCAAGTTGAAGTATGATGCAGGATGGATTCACCATAGAACTGAAATTCAGCTTCAATAAATATAATCAATTAAAACAAATTGACTTTTTTAGTGTTTTATTTCAGTTATTCTAATATTTTTAATTTTATCAGAAATTTCTCCATGAATTCTAACAACTAACAAAATCCTCAGAATATACTACAGTTGGATGACTCTTACTCATCTTTTGTGCCTTTTAACTCTCAGTCTAGGTGGCCTAATGCCTTAAAAAAATATGGCAACTTATTCAACTCATACATCAACATTTTATGATTTATAAAAAAAAATGTTGGCATGGTGGGTTTTCTCTTACTGATGTTACCATCTCCCTTGCCTTTAATTTCATCCTTTCTTCTCTGCCATTCTTTGTATTCGCTTAGTCAGCAATTTCTGTCTCTCTAATCTCATACCATATGCACTTTATCACATATTCTTGATTTATATTACTTAAAATCTGACATGCTTTCTGTATCAAGTATAAGTTAGATTGCTACAATCTGTTATATATCCTGGTGCATTTTGAAATGTTGCATTTTCTAAATGTACTTAATTTAGTTTTTTATCTTCATAACATCTAAATAAAATTTATGATTCCATATATCTGCTTGCAATCAGTCTGAATTACTAGAAATTTTGTTGCAAAGGCTCACCATTGTATCATATATTAAGCTGATTGATCGATTGATCTTGAGTCAACAATGAAAAATGGTGTCAAGTGAAACAAACTAACCTGGTTGTTGAAACGACAGCAAAGTGCATTCAATTACACTTAAGCATATAGCAAGCAGACAAGAGTGCATACACACACACATGCACACACACACACTAGTTAAAAAAACAGAGTATATGCTAATCTCTTTGGTCCAGAAATTACAAACAAATGCCAATTGAAAACAAAAGTAACAAGATTACGGCAAAATGGTAAAAATTACTAAAGAGAAGCAAAATAAAAGGAACAGGAAAAAATAGATAATACAAGAATCCGCTTTGCTGAATTTAGGTTAAGCTGCAAGGCACAAGCAGACATAACATGTGAACCTAGATATCCAGACAGGAGCCCACTTTGCTAGTCAGGTTTAATAGACTTATGTCTTTTTTTTATTCTCTTTCCTCTTCCCATCTTCTAATTTCCTCTTTTATAATTACCTATTGGCCCTGCTCATATTCTTCTTGACAGGTGACTAGCTGGTTGGAATGAACCAGATTCAGTGGATTCCAGTAGAGTTCGCTGAAACTCATGCCCCAAAAGGGCATGGTGTTATGATGATTGGCATACCAAACATCCAATACTGCTGAATAAAATTATAGAAAATTAAAATGACTGTTAAACCAAGCTGTACCAAGGTATATGATCCAATCTGTATGTACTAGTCGGATCATCATTTTAAACCATGCATACTTCCAATGCCATTGGCTTCTGTTGGTCAACAAGCGGGCCTTTCAGGACTGTGCTGATTAGTATGTCTTTGTTCGGTCAAAAATAGATATAATTTTGATACATGAAATGGAAATCCTAGTGCATTATCTTTTGTCCTATTATGAATTAGAAGTTTATATTCAATGATTCGCACAATGTAATAATTTACTTCACGAGAACAAAGATATCATTAGAATCATTTTTTGTGTATGACAGAAAAAAAAAGGAAGAAAGCATTTCTATCTAAGAATTCAAGATTAAACCCTAAAAGTGACAGTTTTAACACCCAGTTTCTAAAATTTTTGGTTTGTATAGGAAGATGACACTTAGTAGTCCTACAACATGGGTTTTAAGGTAAAATAGCTGGAGCAAACAATGATTTTTTTTTTTTGACCTGGTAATTTCTGAAAAACATTCCAACCCTTTTGAAGCCTAATGTCTCAATACTTTTCCTTTTCAATTGACAATTTAATGAGTAAAGAACCTAGAACATCAAATAGTGTATTTAATCTCAGTTGTGAAGCATACCTGATGCTCTGGGAGAAGAAGCAATGCCACATAGAATATGAAGAACAGCAGCCTGGCATTTGCAAGGTGAATGAGACAGAACATCCAGAAGCTTTCGGATAATAAATTCTGATTGTATTTGATGTCCTTCTTTATCGCCAAATGATAGTTCCCAGTGCCCAGATATGGAGACAATGTTTGCAACTGTTGATGCCGCCAATTCTTTAATCTCAGATGGAGCATC